TAGAAACTGTAGTATTTGCAATACCAACCTGTTCATAAGTAAATGCTTATATCTTCTCTAAATGCACATGCTGAAAGAAGTTAAAAGTTATGTAAGTTTGGTTTGTCAAAACACTTAGCTTAATGTTGAATCTGAATGTAAACATGTGTGTTGATTTACATTGGCAGTGATCTATTGTCTATTTCTATATTTAAATAACATCTAGTGTTTAATACTACAAATATTAATTGTTTTTTAACAGAATGAGTTTGGTGTTTGGGAGATCTTTTGGCCTAATAATGCTGATGGTTCACCACCAATTCCCCATGGTTCTCAAGTGAAGGTAAATTACCTATAGATGAATATAAGTTTGGCTCTTGAAAGTTATTGTGCTTACATTCAAATGCTACTTGTTTATTATTTCCTTTTTCCACTTTTTAAGTCAGAATAAAAAGAAACTATAAAAACTTGCAACTCTTTCCTTGTAGATCAACAATGTATTTAACCTTTTGATCATGACCTGTGGACCAGGAACCTTTAAGTATGATGCTTTTTTTTTTACACTGATCCTATTGCATGTGTATATGGTTTGAATAAATCATTGGTTTGTACTACAACCTTCACAATAATTAATTACTAGAATTCATGACATAAAAGGCATTGAAGTATTTAATGGGGTGGTCTCTGAATCAAGCAAAATTATTCAAGGTAGCTGAGTTCAAATCAACTAACTCTTGCCCTAAAAAGAAGGGAGAAAGAAAGAAAAGATGAAGATGAAAAAAAAAAAACATTTCTCTAGTATTATTAAATAATGAGTATTACTTTAGTTAATGATAATGCAAATGCCAAATAGCTAGTGACTTGGATCTCTGTTAACTGCTTTATGTATAGAAATATCTTAAATAGCAGTTTCAAATCAATAACATGAAAGTTGGTTTGATTGCAGTTTATTATGATTCTTCACCCATTTCTAAACCCATTAAGAGGCCCTAAATTTGCAATAAACCAAATTTATCTCTAGTTTTTCATTTACTGTCATTCAGAGAAAATTTGTCCCACAGACACCTTCAGTCTTTATCTTCCATGCTACATTTTGATATGGTTAATCCATTTTCCTAGTTTTCTTAATATTATCAACTCTAAGATGCAGGAGCCAATAATTAGCACATATGCCAACTTCGGAGATGATGTGCTTCCCCATATTAAAAGACTTGGATATAATGTTGTTCAAATCATGGCTATTCAAGAGCACTTGTATTATGCTAGATTTGGGTATTATCTCCATCAAAATATCTACTCATCTTTATTTGTTGCTGTTTATGTTTGTTAACTTGTATTAAAATGTTATGTTTTGGATGTAAACAGAAATATTTCTTCAGAATTTAGTTTTGGTTATGGAAACTAACCTCTTCTACTTTTAACAAGTTGCATTTAATATGTTGTAGGTATCATGTGACAAACTTCTTTGCACCAAGCAGCCATTTTGGAACCCTTGATGATCGTAAGTCACTGATAGATAGGGCTCACGAGTTGGGTCTACTTGTTCTTATGGATATTGTGCACAGGTAATAATTGGACTTGCAGGAGTATATCATTTCTAGAATCGCACCCTTCAGCTTTATTAGCTGTTACAGGTTTTGTGCAAAAGGTTTTTCCCAGCTTTTTTGTACCAAAAATGAAAATATAAACTCTTTTTCTTCTTCTTTTCCTGCTTAGACTGTATGGTCATTCTTCCAGTAGACTTGATGCAAATATGGCCATGAGAATTTAGGCTGTTATTGGTCCTTACTCTTATTATGTTTTTTCTAGTTGTTTTTGGCTTCCTAAAAGGTTTCTAAAGAACAAACCTAAAAGGGAGAAAGCAAAGTCATAATTGTTTGAAAATATATATAATTAAATGCAATAGAATTTGTAGTATAATTGTTCTATTAAAAGAGGAATCATAGTATTTTGTTCTACAAGAGATAATATTTTTTATTTTTAATTCTTTTAAAGTATTATTGTCTTTTCTACCCAAATGTACTTTTTGCTTCTGAAAACAAAAAGCTAGTAGCAAAAACAACTATCGAATGGAATCTTATTGTATTGTTTACAATGAAAGTTTTTATCTTTTGCATGTAGTTAATGTTAAATTCTTTTCTAAACTGTAGCAAATTTTTATTCAAGTATTTGTTCTGTTGCTTTGAGTAAGTAATCTTTTGCTATAAGTTTCAGTTAATTTTTATTCTTTAGTTAAATTAGGTTATTAATTAATTTTGTCATCCGTCTTTGTATCTGATTGATGTTTGACAAATACAACCATGCATCTAATAATGTGTTAGATGGATTGAACATGTTTGATGGAACCATTGCTCATTACTTCCACTTGGGGTCAAAGGGTCATTACTGGATGTGGGATTCTCGCCTTTTTAATTGTGGAAGCTAGGAAGTATGTATTTCTATTGAACTTCCCTTAAACAATAGCTTGTTGAAAGATTTTGGCTTCCTTCCATCCTATTGTGTGTAAATATTAATTTTTACTTGTTGCTTTAGGTACAAAGGTTTCATCTTTCAAATGCAAGATGGTGGCTGGAAGAATACAAGTTTGATGGATTCAGATTTGATGTTGTGACTTCAATGATGTACACCTATCATGGGTTGCAGTTAATATCTGAGTGAGTTTGCGGATTTTCTATTCTGCTTGGTGTTATATAATAAGCTACTCGCATGTTTAGATGTTAATTATCAAAGTTTTGACTTTAAGTTGTATAGAGAAGTAGAATTGACGTAACATTTGGTTCTTGTAAGTGGTGAAGCATCATTTCTCTATGTTTGTTTCTTAACTAAATTCTCTTGAGGACTAAAGGTTTTTAGTGTTATTGCATCTTTATAATGCATTATCCCGGCTTAACCTTTGTTTTCTTGAACTTGTTGTAGGTCGCATTTACTAGAAACTACAATGAATACTTCAAAAATGCAACTTATGTAGATGTTGTTGTCTATCTGATGCTGGTTAATCATATGATTCATGGGCTATATCCTGAGGCTACACCATTGGTGAAGATGTATGTTCTATAACTCCTTCTTGAGTCACATTGAGCATACTTCTATTATAATCGTTTATATGTTCCAGAATTATGATGTCTGCTTTAAGTCCCCTGTCTCTTCTACAGCAATATTTGTTGAACTGGGTTTCAATACTTTTTTATGTGATCCATGAGGATGCTAAATGTAGAAATGGTTTTGAAAAAGTTTGTACACATACTTTTATGTGCGAAGCCTACCAAACATTTGTGTATTGTACATGTTTTTCTAATTCTCTGTTGCTTCATCACTTCTCTTCATACATCAATTGAATCCATATGCCATGAATAAGTAGGTTAACCCTGCTAGTAGTTAAGTGTTTTGATATTGTAGAATGAACTAAAGAATTGTTAAAAATGCTTGTTGTAAATTGAACTAATTTTTATTGTAGACCAAGAGTTATGGAAACATAGCAACTAAAGATGCCAACCAAAAACACTTGAAGGAACAAACAAGCATCTCTAGAAATCTTAAAATATCCTTGCTTTTCACATATTTCATCTTTTGTGCAAATAATTCACCTAAAGAGCTACTAGCACAATAAAAGGTAATTTATGTTTTACCCGTTAGAAATATTAGCATGGTAAGGAACATTTAATTGATAAAATGTTTATATTGAAGTGATTTAGTTGCAGATTTTCATATATTATTTGCAAAAATAACATTCTTTAAGTTTTATTAATATTGAAGAGGAAAAGAAACAATAGTTGAAGGTAGACTTCCACCATCTTAAAATGTCATCTGTCATAATAATCAATTCTCCACTGCTTTTCTTTTTTACTTTGACCCATGTGCTCTAAGAAGTATGCCTTAAGAAACTGTAGTATTTGGAATACCAGCTGTTCACAAGTCAATGCTTATATCTTCTCTAAATGCACATGCTGAAAGAAGTTAAAAGTTATTTAAGTTTGGTTTGTCAAAACACTTAGCTTAATGTTAAATCTGAATGTAAACATGGATCTTTTTATATGTATGTGGGCATGAATATTCTTCTTAATGGACCAAAGATTAGGTGTATAGTCTGATGCAGTTGATATTCTTTAGAACTCCAAATAGAAAAGTTAAGAAGATAAACGTTGTCAAAGTTTTTATAATTAAGTGCAAAAGCCACCTTGCTTATGTAACAATTAATTGTATCAGCTAATTCATTTATTTAATGCCATGCAGTCTCAAGTATAAAAGGGAAGGTGACTGTGTTCTAAGTGCTTAGAAATCTGTGTTGGTTTACATTGGTAGTGATCTATTGTCTATTTCTATATTTAAATAACATTTAGTGTTTAATTCTACAAATATTAATTGTTTTTTAACATAATGAGTTTGGTGTCTGGGAGATCTTTTGGCCTAATAATGCTGACGGTTCACCACCAATTTCCCATGGTTCTCAAGTGAAAGTAAATTACCTGTAGATGAACATAAGTTTGGCTCTTGAAACTTATTGTGCTTACATTCAAATGCTACTTGTTTATTATTTCCTTTTTCCACTTTTTAAGTCAGGGTAAAAAGAAGCTATAAAAACTTGCAACTCTTTCCTTGTAGATCAACAAGGTATTTAGCCTTTTGATCATGATCTGTGGACCATGAAACTTTTAAGTATAAGGGTTTTTTTAACACTAATCCTATTGCATGTGTATATGGTTTGACTAAATCATTGGTTGTACTACAACCTTCAAAATAATTAATTACTAGAATTCATGACATAAAGGCATTGAAGTATTTAGTGGGGTGGTCTCCAAGTCAAGCAAAATTATTCAAGGTAGCTAAGTTCAAATCCAACTAACTCCCGTCCTAAAAGGAAGGGAGAAGGAAAGAAAAGATGAAGATGAAAAGAAAAAACCATTTTTCTGGTGGATTGTTATGATCATGTCAATTATCATTTATCCAAACCTCTTTTTCCATGTGTACATTTTAAGTTTTTGACCATATAATTGTAGATTCGTATGGAAACTCATTTGGGATTAAGGACTCCATTCCTGCTTGGATCATGTTCTTTGTTCAATCAACAGATGGAATCCCATACAATGGAAGAAACTATGATCCGCCAAAAGAGGTATAGTTGGTGGCTATTTGCTCTTTTGGTTTTGTTGAAAAGATTAGATAACTTATTCTTTTCAAACTATAAGCAGTTGAAATATTTGGAGCTTGGGAAAAATAAAAAATACCAACTAATGTTTATGATAATTTTAAAATCACTGCATGTGTGTGAAGATACATAGACAAAAGCATGCATGCATGCCTACACACAAATATGATTAATTAATTATATAAACAAATAATGAATTTCTTATTCATCTTAGAGTAGGTTGTTTTGATGAATGTCTTCCTTTATAACGTTAATATTAAGATCAATGCCCTTAAAGGTTTTTAAGAAAACAATTTTGATTGGTTCTTTTTCATATGTGAAGTCAGTTTCTAAATTGTGTTCTCGCTTGTTCAAGTTTAATCACTGCGCAGCACAGTCAACTTAGTTTAGTCTGTAATGTGTCTTATCTCAAATTTTTGTACTCTTTAACCTGACTAATGATTTTTATATTGTAATAGGAAAAGTATGTATTCAAACACCGCTAGCTAAAAAGACCAAAATCACTTAAGTCTATGAATCACATGTTGGAATGAGTAGCATGGTATGCATCTTCCTTTCCCTTGCATGTAGCAAATTGTTATTCAACTCTTCTTTCTCTGCACTGAATTGTATTTCCTTGATTTATTTAATCTTAAAAGAGAAAACCTTAAGTTTGATAAAAAGCTTCATTAAATGCTATCATGTGTGGGATCATGTTTTTTATGCTATTTCTTTCAACCCTTCCTATGAAGTGTTCTTGCAAGGTTTTGAGATTGAAAAGTAAAGCAGGAGGTTTTATAAGACAATACATTTTATAGTAAAACTTATCTTAGTATTTGTATTTAAACTATCAATTTTACCCCCCCCCCCCCCAAAAAAAAAAGGAAGATAAAGAGATATTTTGACTTTAAGCTAGCAAAAAGCCACGTAGGTGTATATGGCCTACTTTTCGTGTTCTTTGGTTAAAGGAAGTCCTTCCATTTGGATTATACTAAATAATGAGTATTACTTTAGTTAATGATAGTGCAAATGCCAAACAGCTAGTGACTTGGATCTCTATTAACTGTTTTGTGTATAGAAATATCTTAAATAGCAGTTTCAAATCAATAACATAGAAGTTGGTTTGATTGCATTTTACTATGATTCTTCACCCATTTCTAAAACCCATTAAGAAGCCTAAATTTGCAATTAAACCGAAATTTATCTCTAGTTTTCTTCATATTGTCATTCAAAGAAAATTTGTCCCACAAACACTTTCAGTCATTATCTTCCATGGTACACATTGGTATGGTTAATCCATTTCCTAGTTTTCTTAATATTATCAACTCTGAGATTCAGGAGCCAAGAATTAACACATACGCCAACTTTAGAGATGATGTGCTTCCCACTCATTAAAAGACTTGGATATAATGCTGTTCAAATCATGGCTGTTCAAGAGCACTCATATTATGTTAGATTTGGGTATTATCTCCATCAAAATATCAGCTCATCTTTATTTGTTGCTGTTTATGTTTGTTAACTTGTACTAAAATGTTATGTTTTGGATGTAAACAGAAATATTTCTTCAGAATTTAGTTTTGGTTTAACAAGTTGCATTTAATATGTTACAGGTATCATGTGACAAACTTCTTTGCACCAAGCAGCCATTTTGGAACCTCTGATGATCTTAAGTCACTGATAGATAGGGCTCATAAGATGGGTCTACTTGTTCTTATGGATATTGTGCACAGGTAATAATTAGACTTGCAAGAGAATATCATTTCTAGAAACACATCCTTCAGCTTTATTTGTTGTTACAGTTTTTGTGCAAACGGTTTTTCCCAGCTTTTTCATACCAAAAATGAAAATATAAACTCTTTTTCTTCTTCTTTTCTTGTTTAGACTGTATGGTCATTCTTCCAGTAGATTTGATGCAAATATGGCCATGAGAATTTAGGCTGTTATGGGTCCTTACTCTTAGTATGTTTTTTCTGGTTGCTTTTGGCTTCCTAAAAGGTTTCTAAAGAACAAACCTAAAAAGGAGAAAGCAAAGTCATAGTTGTTTGAAAATATATATGATTAAATGCAATAGAATTTGTACTATAATTATTCTATTAAAAGAGGAATCATAGTATTTTGTTCTACAAGAGATTATATTTTTTATTTTTAATTCTTTTAAAGTGTTATTGTCTTTTCTACCCAAATGTACTTTCTGCTTCTAGAAACAAAAAGCTAGTAGCAAAAACAACTACCAAATGGAATCTTACTGTATTGTTTACAATGAAAGTTTTTATCTTTTGCATGTTGTTAATGTTAAATTCCTTTCTAAGCTATAGCAAATTTTTATTCAAGTATTTGCTTTGTTGCTTTGAGTAAGTAATCTTTTGCTATAAAGTTTCAGTTAATTTTTATTCTTTAGTTAAATTAAGTTATTAATTAATTTTGTCGTCCACCTTTGTATCTGACTGATGTTTGACGAATACAGCCATGCATCTAATAATATGTTAGATGGATTGAACATGTTTGATGGAACCGATGCTCATTACTTCCACTCAAGGTCAAAGGGTCACCGCTGGATGTGGGATTCTCGCCTTTTTAATTATGGAAGCTGGGAAGTATGTACTTCTACTGAAACTTATCTTAAACAATAGCTTGTTGAAAGATTTTGGCTTCCATCCTATTGTGTGTAAATATTAATTTTTACTTGTTGCTTTAGGTACACAGGTTTCTTCTTTCAAATGCAAGATGGTGGCTGGAAGAATACAAGTTTGATAGGTTCAGATTTGATGTTGTGACTTCAATGATGTACACCCATCATGGGTTGCAGGTAATATCTGAGTGAGTTTGCAGATTTTCTATTTTGCTTAGTGTTATATAATAAGTTACTCGCATGTTCAGATGTTAATTATCAAAGTTTTGATTTTATTTTATATAGAGAAGTAGAAACTGATGTAACATTTGGTTCTTGTAAGTGGTGAAGCATCATTTCTCTATGTTTGTTTTTTAACTAAATTCTCTTGAGGACTAAAGGTTTTTAGTGTCATTGCATCTTTATAATGTATTATCCCAGCTTAACCTTTGTTTTCTTGAACTTGCTGTGGGTAGCATTTCCTGGAAACTACAATGAGTACTTCAGATATACAATTGATGTAGATGCTATTGTCTATCTGATGCTGGTTAATCATATGATTCATGGGCTATATCCTAAGATTGTCACCATTGGTGAAGATGCATGTTCTATAACTCTTCAGTGAGTCACATTGAGCATCCTTTGACTTATAATCATTTATCTGTTCCAGAATTAAGATGTCCGCTTTAAGTCCCCTATCTCTTCTATAGCAACATTTGTTGCACTGGGTTGCATAAATGGATTGGGGTTTTAATACTTTTTTACGTGATCCATGAGGATGCTAAGTGTAGAAATGGTTTTGAAAAAGTATGCACACATGTACTTGTGTGTGCGTAAGCGTACTAAACATTTGTGTATTGTACATGTTTTTCTAACTCTCTACTGCTTCATCACTTCTCTTCATGCATCAATTGAATCAATATGCCATGAATAAGTAGATTACCCTGCTAGTAGTTAAGTGTTTTGATATTGTAGAATGAACTAAAGAATTGTTAAAAATGCTTGTTGTAAATTGAACTAATTTTTATTGTAGACCAAGAGTTATGGAAACATAGCAACTAAAGATGCCAACCAAAAACACTTGAAGGGAACAAACAAGAATATCTAGAAATCTTAAAATATCCTTGCTTTTCACATATTTCATCTTTTGTGCAAATAATTCACCTAAAGAGCTACTAGCACAATAAAAGGTAATTTATGTTTTACCCTTTAGAAATATTTGCATGGTAAGGAACATTTCATTGATAAAATGTTTATATTGGAGTGATTTAGTTGCAGATTTTCATATATTATTTGCAAAAATAACATTCTTTAAGTTTTATTAATATTTGAAGAGGAAAAGAAACAATAGTTGAAGGTATACTTCCACCATCTAAATTGTCATCTGTCATAATAATCAATTCTTCCCTGTTTTTCTCTTTGACTGTGTTCTAAGATATATGCAGTAAGAAACTGTAGTATTTGCAATACTAGCTGTTCATAAGTCAATGCTTATATCTTCTCTAAATGCACATGCCGAAAGAAGTTAAAAGTTATTTGAGTTTGGTTTGTCAAAACACTTAGCTTAATGTTAAATCTTAATGTAAACATGGATCTTTTTATATGTATGTGAGCATGAATATTCGTCTTAATGGACCAAAGATTGGGTGTATAGTCTGGTGCAGTTGGTATTCTTAAAAGCTCCAAATAGAAAAGTTAAAAAGATAAATGTTGTCAAAGTTTTTATAATTAAGTGCAAAAGTCAACTTGCTTATGTAACAATTAATTGTATCATACCATTTATACACACAGCTCTGATATCATTTATACACACAGCGGCAGGTAGTACGGCCAAGGCTCTGGCAACTGACACGACTTCAGTTCCGGGCTCTCCGGGTGGTAGAGTCCTGACAATACTATCTGGTACTATGACAACAGCGTGAAGATCGATCAAACTTGGCAAGATAATACTAACCATAAGCTTTCCATAGATCAGACATACAATCAAGGTATTCTAGCCGGTGTTCAAGATTCTGACGCCTTCTTGGCTTAACGTCGAACTGAGGGCCTGACTTTTATGGAGATATGTCTTTCACTATAGTAACTTATTATTAGTATGATCTTGGGGCGGTATGACTTTTCTTTAGCTGAGGAAAAGGGATCAATGATCTGTTTAACAGATTAACAAGAGTTTCTGTTGCAGAGGATCCATAATAATATGGCAACTGCAAAGCATACTCAACTTGTATCACTGCAAACTTTTGAATAGATTGAAGAGAAAGATGAAGCTGAAAGATGTAACTATGAAAAAATGAGATGGGAATCACCAAAGAGAAGAGAGGTTTTAGCCAAACATATTTTGATAAAGGAAGGTTTTTGTTTACAAGAGATGTGGTTGGGAAGTGTGGATGATTCTGGTATCCTTACTATGATTACTTCCATAGAGAAGTATCATTCTATTTATTATGAAAAAGTAAAGGACTAGTAGCCTAATAAGACGAGACGTAGGGACAAAGTAACTTTACAAGTGGCTTAGGATAAGACTAAAGACGGTGAGTCATTAACTAAGGTACCATGATTCATACTAGGGTAGCAAAGGGGCCATTATTTTGGTATAGTGACTCATCACTTAAGGTACAATGACTTAAGCACTATGACTCATACTTAAATACAAATTACATTTATGACCTTGACTAAGACATTAAAGGTGATGGAAGACTTGACATAAGGTTGTGCTTGATGTGAAGGCATCATTTATCAACTTCTGTGGAGTCTTCTGGAGAAAATTGAAATTAGCATACGTAATTATACAATATTTGGACTGGAGAGGGAATCTTTTGTCTTGTAGCACCATCATTTGAGAGAACGTTGAGTGTGTTCTGGAGAGAGGTTGAGGTGTGAATTATCTGCGCCTGGGGTGAAATCATAGCCGAGGTTGACTAACCATTGGTCTGGATCAAAATCATCAAGTGGGTCTTGAGAATCTTGTTGCCATTCCATTTGTGGGAGAACTTCAGGAGGTTTCCAATAAGGATTCCATTTTACTGGGCCTGCATGGTCTAGTTCAAATCTGATAGTTTCAGAAAGAGGTTCTGTCCAAGTACCATCAAGGCGAGTTTCATAAATCTTTTTATCAATGTTGAGCTGGTAAGTGTACTCTGAAGGATAGTTTCCCCATGAAACTTCATCTTGGATCTCTGGCCAATTTTGCTTTGGAAACTTGTGATTCATTTCACAAATTTGTCGCTGGAATTCAGTGTATTCAACTGGGTGATCAAACTAAGAATCAAACAGTGAATATCCTTTAGGAGCTGTAAATTGCTGCATAAGGGGAAATACTGATGGTCTTGGGTCAAACTTGCTGCCAAGATTCTGTGAAAGATTAAAAACAACTATGAGGATCAGGAAGAACTTTTGTATATCTCTCATTAGGTTTCAATCCATTGGATGCCAAATGGAAATGGGTCTGAACCAGGTGAAGAAAAATTTGAGATGTGTTGACTGGGGTCCAAACTGGTGTTTAGAAGGGTTGATGGTTGCTGGTGAAAAAGGTGAAGAAGAAGTGTTGAGGTTTTGGAAGTGGGAATTCTATACCAATATAGTAAAGGTGACAAAGGTACCATAGAAACAAACTTGTCTTTTGGGAAACAAATGAGGTTCAGGGGAATTTAAAGGGATGGATAAAGGGATAATCAGGGTGTATACCAAGAGATTGAAAAGAGGTGTCTCCAAACTTTCTGAGTGTTTTGGACTGATATTTGAGCAAAAGGTGTGAGGCTTTTTGGTCAAGGGTTTGAGTGGCAAGAAGTCTGGGTAACTCTGGAGGAAGATTTTCTACTGGAAGGTTAAGAAATTCATCAGGGAGATCAAATTCATCATCAAGGTGAGGTTTCTGAGAAGAGGGGAAAAGAGGGTTGGTTGAAGAAGAGGCTTGTGAAGAAGAAGGTGTTGGGTTCATCATGGAAATGACTGGAATAACCTGGAAAGTGTTTGAAGGAGGTTTCGAAGGAGGTCTTGTGAGCATGTCTGGGATGAGGTTGTCTTTTCCTTTTATATGCCTGGTGGTGAAGGAGTACTGTGAGAACCACTGTGATAGCCTGAGTAACTGTGCATTTGGCATTTTCTTCTTTTTGAAATTAAGCATCTGATGAAAGGCTGACATATCTAATTCCATGAGAAAGTGAAATCCAATGAGGTGAAATTCAAATCTTTGGATACCATACTTTACAGCTAAAATCTCTTTTAGTGTAGAGTGATAATGGAGTTTCGAATCTTTGAATTTTTTGCTTTTGTAACCACAGATTTATCTGGTTTCATCTTTTTCTTCTAAAAGGATTGCTGACCAGAACTGTTCACTAGCATCTGTCTGCAGTATTCTTGTACCATCTGAAGGAATCTTTAAAGTGGGAAGTGACTTTGCTTTTATCTTCAAGGCTTGTACTGCATTTGTCTGAATCTGAGACCACGTGAGAGGTTCTTTTTTGAGCATTTGTTTGAGTGGATATGTGAGCTGGGCAATATCTGAGAGAAATTCGTTCATGTAATTGACTATACCAAGAAATTGTTGGATTTGCTTCTTTGAGAGATTTGCATCAGGAAAATCTGCAAGTGACTGAGCAATATGAGGTTGAGCAATGTACTGACCATCTTTGAGATGCATGCCTAAGAAATCAATTTTTGTAGCACCAATGAGCATCTTTTTCTCTGAAAGCATTATCCCATACTGTTGAACTATGCGCTGGAACTTATCCAATAACTGTGCATGAGATGTATCATCAGGAGAGAACAGTAAGATATCATCGATGTAGATCAAGGCATTGTCAAGAATTGGAGCAAATATCTTGGTCATGGCTTTTTGGAACAGTGAAGGAGCAACTTTTAATCCAAAAGGCATTACGGTCCACTAGAAGTGGTGTTGAGGAATGCAAAACGTCGTTTTGTATCTGTCCTGTGGATGTATACCTAGTTGCCAAAATCCTGCCTTGAGATCAAACTTTGAGAAAACTTTTGCATTTGCTAGATTTGCGAACAAAGTTTTTCTGTCTGGAAGAGGGAACTTATCATCTGCAAGGAAAATGTTAAGAGGCTTGTAGTTGATTACCAATCTGAGTTTTCCACAAACTTGTTCTGAACGTTTATTGACATAAAACGCTTCACACGCCCACGGAGAGGAGGTTGGTTCAATTAATCCTTGAGCCTGGAGAAGGGAACATTCTTAG